TATTTACCTGTTATTATCTCCCAAGAACCCCAGAAGGACTTTGCTCAAGTCCAAGGCTTGACAGGGAAAGACACAGAATCATAATTCAGATTTCTTGGATTTTTCAATCAATGTTTAACCACTATAAAAATTTTCAGTTTAGTTTTAAACTTCCAATTAGGAACTGGATCCTGTATTTCTCTACATTGATTCATTTATTCAAACATGTTTAGTATTGATTACATAAGGAATATATCAGTGAAAGATATAAGCTAAGTTGTCCTCTGTAGAATAAGACTAATAATGAAGGCAAAATAGATATAATTATAGTATACATTAGAAAATGGTATAACAAGATAGCTAATTCTTTTTTTTTTTTTCATTGTACCAGGGATCGAACTCAGGACTGCATGCTTACAAGGCAGGCACTTATGCCACTGAGCTAAATCCCTAGCCCCAAGATAGCTAATTCTTAAACAGTACTATATGTTGTTTATTTACTATGTATAGACACTTTACCTTATGGTCACTTAATGTTCAATTTACCCCATAAGGTAGGAATTACTACTATTATCCTATATTACCAATGAGAAAACTGAGCCATAGACGAATTAAGTAACTTCCCAAACTTGTACTCTCAACATCTACACTCTGATGCCTCTCATAACAAATGTCATGATGGAGGTAGCCAAAGAAAATATTTGCTGATTAACTGTATGAAACATGGGAAGAGGTATAGATGATAAATATGATGATTATAAAAGGAAACAGAATAAAACATCTTGGCACTAGAACCCTATTATGATTCTAGAAAGTCTATTATTTAAATGTCATATAATAAAAGTCATATGGCAACATCTAGGTCTTTGCATATTCAGAATATAGCTTAGCTCAGTATTTTTTTTTAAACTAAAGGTCAAATCCCATTTGTGAGTCATGAAATCAAATTTAGCTAGTCTAAACAACACTGAAAAAGAGAAACAAAAAGGAACAGCAGGATAAAACAAAGGGAAAACACTGGTGCACATCTTACATGGTAAAAACTGTACATGAAAATTTTGCTACTGTTTTATATATGTGTATATATTACTGTTCCAATAAGTAAGCTGTGCTTACTGTCAATTAAATCAGGAACACTGTTCAATGAGGAACGATTTTTCTAAGTAACTGTGTAAGCTGCTCATCACAGACAGACTTTCAGGCCATGTCTCAAAAAGCATTTTGGAGCCAGGTGGCACAGCACATGCCTGTAATCCCAGAATGGGGGAGGCTGAGGCAGGTGAATTGCTGAGTTTGAAGCCAGCATGTGCTACACAGTGAGTGCAAGTCAGCCTGAACTATTTAGGAAGACCTTGTCTCAAAAATTGCGTTTTCTAGTCAGTACTCCCCAACATTGATTAAATGTAGCAAGTATAATTTAAAGACTATAGGCAGAATACAAAATAGCTCAGTTGCTATGGAAAAAAGCTCTACTACTACTACTACTCTAAAACTTAAAACATAGAATTATCACATCACCCCATAATTCTACTCCTAGATACATACCCCCAAGAATTGGAAATAGAGATTCAAAAAGTTCATGTATACCTCTATTCACAGCATTATTCACAGGAGCCAAAAGGGGGAAAAGCCCAAGTGTTGTCAGTAGATGAATGAGTAAACCAATTGTGGTATATATAAATAATGAAATATTACTCAGCTAGATGAGGTACATATTATAATTCTATTTATATGAAATACATATCCAGAATAGTGAAATTCAGAGAGACAGAACACAGATTAGTGGTTGCTAGAGGATGAAGACTTTACTGAAAAGTGGTTTCAATGTTTTTGTTTGTTTGTTTTTTGAGACAGGGTCTGCTATGTAGCTCAAGCTGGTTTTCAGTTCACTGTGTAGCTCAGGCTGACCTTGAACTTTGGGTGATTTTCCTGTCTCAGTCTCCCAGGTGCGTCACTGTGTCTGCCTAGCAGTTTCTCTTTGGAGTAATGGAAATGTTTTGTAAATTAGACAGAGGGGTTGAATGTATAAAATTAAATGTAGCTAATGCCATGGAATTGTTTGCCTTAAAGTGATTATTTTATGTTATACGAATTTCACTTAAGTATTAAAAAATAAAGTGTCTAGATAGATGTAAGTGCTAGTAAACAATGTATGTATCCAGAATCCGAAAGGGAAATCTTTCTCAAAATAGTATTAGAAACTGAATAAAAGAGATTTTAAAAAGTTTAAAGGGGTCCTATGTAAAATAAAACTTTCTAGGGGCTGGGGATTTAGCTCAGTGGCATAAGCACCTGCCTTGCAAGCAGGCAGTCGTGAGTTCGATCCCTGGTACCGATAAAAAAGGAAAAAGACAAAAAAATAAAACTCTCTAAGTAGAGGCTGAACAGAAACATTAACTGTAGATAACCTTTCGCTTTTGCAGTAGGAACTGAACCAGGGCCTCTATCCTAAGCTACATCCCCAGCCCTTTTAATTATTTTTTTACTTTGAGACAGGATCTCACTAAGTTGCTCAGACTGGGCTAGAACTTGTAATCCTCTTGCCTCAGTCTCTCAGAGTGCTGGGATTACAGGCATGTACCACCACATCTGGTGTTCTACAGATAATTCCTAGTAACATCTCTGAGAAAAAAACTGACATGTACTTTTCTATAAACATCCTTTTAAAAATCTATTTCAGCAAGAGAAGAAATATTACTCTTAAATATAAAGAAGAAAATGAGTACTTTTAGAACTTTGGAAGGAGTTAATGAACTTAAAAATCTTTGTAACAAATTTTCTCTTTAAGAAAAAAAGGAAAGGAGAAAAAAAAAAAACAAATCAGGATGTCTGAGCAAATGATGTGAAGCAACCACTTTGCTTTCCCCTTGGAGGATACTGTTTTTACTGTTATTATTACAGCAGGTATGTGCCAAGGGACAGTGGTCACAAGAAGATTCCAGATTCCAGTGGTCCTCATACAGGCTGGAAAGCCCTTGGAGAGCAGGCGATGAAGGAGGATGGCTGTCTAGACAAGATCATGGTTTTTCGACCCATGATGAATAGAGCTCTAAAGGTCCTCTGGGCTACTAGAGCATAAGGAGACAAGGGAAAAGAAAAGGAAGTAGAGCTATTGATGTGCAGGCCTCTATCCCATGATTCAGGGCAGATTTGCTCTTTTAAACATTGAGATCTCATAGTAAAACTTCACCTGAAGAAATTTCTGCTGCTAAAACAAAGTCTGAAAGTCAGTGATTACATCAAGAGTTCCTAAACTTGGCTGCTCAAGAGAATTACCCAAAGCTTTGAAAATTAAAAGCTCTCAGGCCATATCTCTAGACCCACTAAACAGTAACTTCCCACAGGGTTTCCCTGCAGCCTGCTCAAAGCTACTCTTGGGTGTTTGAGAAGCCCAGGACCAAAGAGCCCTTGCTTTCCTGGAGTCTATACCAAGCTAGGACTTAAATCAGTAGGTGAGAGGCTCAGGGAAAAAGAGTGGTGACAGCAGATGGAAAAAAGAACATAGCTAAATCACTAGGGTTAAGGAAGAAAAAATTAGGAGCTTGCTGAGGACCAGAAGTTTCTCTTGAGATTTCATTGTGTGCTAAAGGACCCATTTCCTCACAGCCTGCAGTAACTGTCCAAATTGGTGATTGTTGTCAAAATGATTTACTTTTTTTTTAATTTCAAAAAGTATAATGTGAGCAACATGTATAACTAATTTAAACTTTTCTAGTAGCACAGTGATGAGGAAAAATTTATTTTAATAATGTATTTTAGCCGGGGATTTAGCTCAGTGGCATAACTGCCTGCCTGGGAAGTGTGAGGACATGAGTTCTACCCGCAGTACCAAAAAAAAAAAAAAAAAAAAGTATTTTATTTAGCTCAATATATCCAAAATTTCACCCATTTCAAGATGAAATTCAATACAAAAATTATTTGTGTTTTAGTTTAATAATTTTTTGTATTGTAGCAATCTTCATTCAGACTAACCACATTTTAAGTGATCCAAAACCACATGTGGTTTGTTGCTATAAGACTAATTAATAAAAGATTAATATATTTCTTTTTAAAAATGATACTCTGTTGCAATAAAAACAAAGAGTAAAAGCATCTTCCCCAACCCTGCTCCAAAGCCTAGTTTGATTAAGTTTTGACCATAGATATCATATCTAACTTTCTATCTTCAGCTTTGAACATATTTACCCCTGTATGTTTCCTAGATATTTTTAACAAAAATGTCCTACTCTCAAAGCCTGTTCAACATGTCTACAACTAAATCCACCATCTTTCTTCCAAAATTAAAAAAATTACCTCTTGATTTTTCTTTTCCTATTAGTGACCTCAGTTCAAAACTTCAGAGTCAAGTTTTTCCTTTTTTTTTTTTTTCTACACGAGCAGCAGGCTCTATTTATTTTTCATTCACAATCTCACTGGCCCCCTCTCACTTCTAGTTATCCCTGCTGACCTATTCAGTGCACTGTTATCAATTCATATACCTAATGTTATGTACCATGTGTAGTATCACTTCTCCACAGTGGCTCTAAAATGCCTGGCACATAAACTACTAATACAGAACCACATGCAATGCTGTTCCTCTATCAACATGTTAGCTATATCATTCTAACCTTATCTTTTACCAATCTCTGTAAGAGTGTTTCTTTTTTAGGGGCTGGAGATTTAGCTCAGCGGCATAAGCGCCTGCCCTGCAAGCAGGCAGTCTTGAGTTCGATCCCCGGTACCGATAAAAAGGAAAAGACAAAAAAAAAAAAAAAAACCTGGAAAAAAACCAAAAAGAGTCTTTCTTTTTTAAAGCCTAACTATCCTGATTACTATACTGTTTCATGTAAATGAAAATATGGTACAAAATAAATTTTAAAAAATGAAAATAATACCATAGTGATTATGTATGTGTGTGTACTGGGGATCGAACTCATGACCTTGAGCTTGCCAAGCAGGTGTTTATGTCGCTAAGCTAAATCCCCAGGCCCACAGTGATATTTAATAAACATACAAAATATCAGCCAAAAAAAACCACTTACCACATGTTGTGTTCAAAAACTTTGGCTGGGTCAGTTAAAATCCTTGATCCCAGGGGAGCCACTGGGTGGTTACCACTTTGACATCTGTATGGCACCTTCCTTAGCCTTACACTACAAATATAACTTCTCCAAATCACATTCATCTTAAGCAGTACCTGCAAAATCAAAATGATCAGTTTAAATTGAAGTATACTGTTTAATAATCAAAATTGGTTCTGAAAGGTTAACAATCTGAGAAAGGAGATGGAAACTAAATGTTTCTTAAATGAAAGATGGTCATGAAAGCCAGATGTGGCAGCATGCACATGTATTCTCAGAATTCTGGCTGAGTTGGGAGGATCGTAAGTTTGGGCCCAGCCTGAGTAATGACTTAGTGACACCCTGACTCAAAATAAGAAAAGGGCTGGGGATACAGTTCAATATAAAGGCCCTGGATTCAATCCTCAATATTCAAAGAAAGCAAGAAAGAAAAAAAGATGGGCATGATAGCATGATAGGTTCTCTCCTGAAGAACTTGTGGGCAGGCTAAGTCAGAGAGAAGCAGTATTTAGGATGAGCCCATTGGATAGCATTCTTTACAAATTACAACTTTGATCCATTTTGCTTTGTTAAGTGTTTGCCTTATATTTAGCACATGGCCAAATCAGGTAAGCCCAGAACCTGAATTTTGTGTATTAAAGACAACTGTTTTACAGTTATTTTATTACACTGTTTGGAGAATTCTAAGCAACTTACAAGGAATATTTCATGCCCAGTAGACCAAAAACCCAAGTACAGAGGCAGAACAGGAAAACAAACCTAAAATTCATCTTCATGCTAAACTGAGTAATATGAAAATTAGATAAATAAATGTTATATTGAGACAAAATCCTAGTAATTTTTAAATTATCAATTATATATTTACATATTTAATCAGTAATATGGTTGCAAAATTCAGAATCCATGCTTACATAATTCATGTTTTAATCCCAACTTACAAGATTTACCAGATGACTGGCCCAAATCCATCTCCACTTTGAAAGAGTAACTTTAATATTTAAAGACTAGTCATGTTAATTATGTACTGGTAAATATGTCATTAAAAAATCTTACAGAAAAGTACTAAAAAGAAGCTCTAAAGCTCTAAATTTTCCCAATAAGAATCCACTGTAATAATGTCTGGCATTTCAAGTTGTTCATTACAACATTCAGCTGAATGCTGTAGGCTGTCAGAAACAAGTATTAGAAGTTATGTGTACATACCATGAATTAGAACTACTGATGGTTCTGTTAGGCATACTGCATTTCCTTTTACCACCTTACAAAAATGAATGGGCTTTAAGACTGTGAATTGCAAAACAAACCTCAGAATGTTCAAAACATTTTGCTGGGCTTTTAAATATAAAATTCAAGATTTTTCCTTTAGAAGTAAAGGAAGGGAGGTGAGTGATACCAAAAGGACTGCCATGGTTCCATTTAAATGTGACTAATGTGAGAAATGAATCATTTAATAGCACAAATGCTCCTGTTTCTTGTGTTTTCCCTTCTTCAGGAAAGGAAGCTCTTCGGTGGAGCAAATGAAATGCCCCACCTACCACTACCTTTCCCCTGATGTGCCTTTGTTTTTTTCGCTTGTCAGTATTCCACATAAGACTAACAAAACCCTACGTGCAAAGTTATTTTTAGATTTCTTTCCACACTGAATATTATTCATAAAATGTTCTGTATGCTGAAGAGTAGAAACTGATTACACTGAAAAGAGGAAATTCATGCTTGAAAGTATAAAATAATGTAAATGTTTCTCACCCAGGAAAGCCAAATTGAAATAAAATTTCAATCCTTCAAATAATCATGTGATACTTATCTCCATCTATCCATGTATAAAAAAGGAAAAGAGAAAAAAAATGAGTTTTCCTCACTATAAATGACCAAGGATCTCTGTGGACTGTCAAAGACAAAGCTATATAACCAGAGTTATATATATATATATATATATATATATATATATATATATATATATATATATGAAAGTCACAGAAGTGTATGTCATGCAGACTGCGAGCATCAGAGACAGCACTGTATGGTCAGGGCCCAACATCTAGCAGTTTCCTTAACTAGGCAGCTGCTTCTGTAGTTAAACAAACATCTTTATATGTTTATTTATCATCTGTAACAGTCATTGTTAAGGCTTGTGTCTAGACATCTCCAAAGTCTCATGTACTCATAGGTGGATTTTTTTTAGAGCTGGCTGAATCTAGTCATGATTGATTCACAGTGCAATGCTAGAATTAAGGGTGGGTGATTAGTAAATCAGTTTCCTGATTGGATTGGCACTACCCTAATCCTGGTAGCCTGGATACAGCACAAGGGACATAAAGAGGCTTGTCCTGCCCCTCACTTGCTTGCTTTGCTACCTGTGTCTGCCATGAATTGTTTCTCCTTTGCAATGCCTGTCTGCTATGCCTGAACCCAACCAATTATATATTGAAATCTCTACAAACTTAGCTCAATAAAATTTTCTCCCTTTAACTAATTGGGTGTCATTACTATGTCTCGGCAATGAGAGAAAAGTAATTAAGATAGTCACACACAGTGGTTTGTTGCTATTCATTTTTTATTATATGAAGATATAATGTTTATTTAATTGAACATATAACACAGATAAATACATAACAAAATTATGCAAATACCTTCTCAACTAAATGGAAACTTCCGGAGGCAGTACCAAGCTGCTCATGAATTGTTTGTGTGATTACATAAAAAGTGGTACTTGTCTGACATAAACTTAATTGGAAAAAATTACTTCATATTTTCCAAGATGATTCCTAAGATTCTTGCACTGACAAAAAGGAAGACGGAAGAGTGTGATAGTGTATAGGCAGCTATCCTGTTATATTGTATATAATATTTTATAAACGTGTTTCATGTTATACCAGTTTAAGACTTTCTAGGTCATGGTTCCATTTTGAGGGGGGAAAAAAAAGAAAGAAGGCCTGGACCAGACCTAAAATGGAGTTCTGGAAATAAAAGCTGGTTTCTGGCACCATTTCCTTTATGTTCTCATTCTCTCTTTTTCCCTTCCTCCCTCCATCTCTGTCTCTCTCTATATATATCTCTCTCTCTGGGGTCTGAACCCAGGGGTACTCCATCACTGAGTCCTTTTTTATTTTAAGACAATCTTGCTTAATTGATCAAGCTGGCTGTGAATTTGTAATCCTCTTGCCTCAGCCTCCTGAGTAGTTGAGACTTTAAATGAGTACTTAAAGCTGTATCCTCTCTTAAAATTTCTTTTGGTATATTTTAAATTTGCATATTTAAACATTAAGATATTGTTTGCATAATAAAACTATAGAAATTTTTATTTGAAATAACAGAAAAAGTTATAGTTCAAAACATTTCATTTGTTCAAAAGAAGGCAAGAAAAAACAGAGGAATTAAAAATAGATGGTATTAAAAAATGAAACACCGAGACTGAGGCAGGAACTTAGGTCATGCCAGTCAGATGGTCAAGTGGGCATGACCTGTTAATCACAGAAATCCAAGACACATGCGCAGGAAAACACTTCCAAGCCTGCGCCTGGGAAAAACTGAAAAGTGCTATCTTCAGTTCTTTTGGCACAAAGGCAAGCAGGTTTTTGATGGGACAGCCTAGATGGCATCTTTTTCTCTAACCATTAGTAAATATTTTGTTTTGTTTTGTTTTGTTTGGTACCGGGGATCAAACTCATGACCTTGCGCGATTGCCAGATAGGTGCTTATGCCACTGAGCTAAATCCTAGGCCCCAATCATTAGTAAATGTAAACTCTCACTACATTGTGTGTTTCCCGTCCAGTTCAAAGAACAGGACGTCCAGTTCAGGACAATAAGGAAAACCCTCTAGAAGTTCACTGCACTCCAGAACCATAGTAACAAGATGGCACTTTATTTATTGCAGTACTGGAGCTCAAACCCAGAACTGCTTAAATGCTAAACAAGCACTCTACCACTGAGCTACATCCCCAGGTCCATGATGGCATATTTAAACCCAATCATATCAAAATTATTACATGTAGATGGATTTTGATTAAAAGGCGAAGTTTATCAATCTGGATTAAAAAGCAAGACCTTACAATTTAATGTTTCTAAGACACACATTTTAAGTATACAGATTCAAATACATTAAAAAGAAAAAGATACATTGCAAACCCTGCATGAGAAAGCTGATGGATCTACATCATTAGACAAAGTAGACTTTAAGCAAAAGACCATTACACAGATAGAGAGGGACATTTAAAAATGGTAAGATCCATATCACTATGCTTTTTTTGAGACATGGTCTCACTATGTAATTCAGGTTGGCCTTGAACTATGTAGCAAAGGTTGTCTCAAATGCAGAGCTATCCTCTTGCCTCAGTCTCTCAAGTGCTGGGATTACAGGCTGTTATGCCTTTTAGATAACAGCCAATTCAGTGAGGGGCCATACTAATCACTAAAAATGTGCATAATCTAATAATAAACCTTCAAAATCCATGAAGCAAGAATAGATGGGACTTTCTAAAATGAAGAAGCAGTGATTCATATTTCAACAGCCTCCTTTCAGTAAAAACAGAACAATAATAATTAACAAGTGATCACAGAAATCAGTAAGGAAAAATACTATCAATCTGACATAAAAGATACAGAAAGAACACTATGCCTACTATCAGCAAATTACACATTCTCTTCAAGTGCACGTGGAACATTCACCTAGGCAGGCCATATATGCTGTTCTCTACAACAATGTCAAAAAATTCCAAAGTATTGAAAACATTCAGAAAGTTTTCTGCAATAATACTAAATGCAAATATGTTTCGTGAAATACCTCTTATTAACAATATCATATCTTATCTCCATTGTTTTGCTGAAATCTACTTTGTCTACAATGAACATAGCTCTACCAGCTGAAATGCAAAGTGGCATACGGTGTATCTTATTATAAATTTTGAATATATTTGTGTGTTAACATTTAAAGTGATTCTCTTATAGGCAATATATTGTTGACCTTGGATTTTTAGTCCAAACTTAAATTAAAAGGTATCAAGAAAAAATCCCAAATATTTAGAAATTGACAACATGCTTTTAAGTAATCTAGGTGAACAATATGCTTTTAAGTAATCCAGGATTCAAAGACTAAATCTTAAGGAAAAAGTTAAAAAT